GGAGCTCTGCTCAGCAGATAAACTAGGGGTCCACTTACACCTTTCCCCCATCACACAAACATTTTTAACTAGCCAGTCCAGCGTCTCCAAGTATGTGCCTTCTGAGACAGGAGACAGCATGCTTTCTCCTGTGCCTCAAGGAAGACTGGGGGCATGAATGTACCATTTGACTGCAGAGAAACATTTAGCTGTAATTTTCCTCCTGTCCTTGAACAAAACAAAGCTCAAAAGGCCATCTTCCCAGCCAACCTGCCCTGGCAACTGCAACCTGACCTTAGTGCACCCTGGAACTCCAACACCACCTTCCCAACCAGCTCTGAGGGTAAACACTGCACCCCAAGATGACTTTTGCCCTTACAGGCAGTCACAGAGCCTTACTGCCGCCCAGTTTCTCCCTGAAATAAAAAACAAACAATTAGGGCTTCAATAAATCAATTAACTAGTTAATTAGCACATGGGACAATAAAAGTCCAACTGAGACCCAGCTTTCCTAAGACAGTTGTCACATCTATTAAACTGAAGGGACAGCTTTTAACGTCCCTTCTAAAGCCCTGCAAGTTGAAACTAGACTTCCCAAGGCCGCGTGTCCTCACACTGCTCACAGGGGCCTTTCGGAACTACCTGCCAGAGACACTTTTCTCTGGTATGTTCTTCTTCATAACTAATTCACAGCTTTCCTCACAGCCTTGTCTGAAGGTATGGCTGCCTTCATGCCTCTCTCCTTTAGGACAACTGAACTCTCAGTTAGAATTAAGATGATAATGAATGTACCAAACACTCAGATCATAGCCTTTCTTTAAAAAAAAAAAAAAGTTTATTTCGTTAGTTCTAATTACCCCCCTTCCCACTGTGTGTGTGTGTGTGTGTGTGTGTGTGTGTGTGTGTGTGTGTGTGTGTATCCATCTGTGCACATCTTGGGTTTTGTCCCATGTTGGCAGAGAAAGCTCTGTCACCTGAGCAAAATGGTCTTCAGGGAGCAGCGGTGAGGACCATATTCCTTGAAAAGCAAGCAGCTCCTGGAACTTCTCACAGATTTAAACCCATGGGCAGGAAATTTAGTCACTTAAAAGTGGATGGAGACCCCTGCTGGCGACAACTGTCCCTGCAGCTCAGTAAGCTCTTGTTCTGATTGTCTCAGGATGACTAGGCCCTGGTATTGGTTCATGTTGACCTCTCACCTGAGGTACCAGGCCCAGTGATTGCACATACAACCGGTGTTCTCCAAAAGGCATAAGCTGAGATTACAAAAAGACCTGAAGTTGAGCTCCCACGGAGGATTTTCTGAGGTAGATGAACACTCCAGCCAAAGCTCAATCAGCAGATGTAAACAGAAGACAGAGGATAGCACGTGTGGTTACAGACAAGAGCACACACTCTAACCACTCTAAACCACATTGATGACTCTCCCAAAGACCCATATGTAAAGGCTTGGTCCTCAGGGAGGAGCTCTGGGAAGCACTGCGGCCTGAAAGAGCTGAAGCCCACAGAGGGGTCCTCAGGTCAGTGGGTGTGCCCTCAAAGGAGGCTGTGGGGCTCAACAGCCCCCCTCGTGCTCTCTCAAGACCATGTACCCCAACATGTGCACCCGCATTGACATCGTGGGCCAAACCCAGTAAGCTGATAGCATCAGATGTGAGCCTCTAAGCTGTTCTCTTTCTAAGCTCACTGCCTCCAGTACTTCTTTGTAGTGGCATGACACTCTTCAAACTGAGAGGTGGCATATTATTAGTGGAACTAGTGCTTCCCAGCTAAACCTGACTGCTCCCATTCAAGGAGAACATTTGGTAGTTGTTAGAACTTGCAGGAGGGGCAGGTGCTACTGGTTTCTAGTCAGAGTTCAATTTTGTCAGCCTTTATATCAAACTGGAAATTATCTCAAGCATGTTTAGTTGGGGCCAGTCCAGTTCAGAAATGTGGGGTTGGGGGAAAGAAGAGGCTACTTGGGAAACACAAAACCTGAGGAAAGGCAGCCAGGCACTTTGGACAGTCAACTAAATGAACACTGGAAGCATGGGAGGAGTGAGAGGGGGAGCTGGTGTGGTGGAAGGTGCCCACCAGCAGAGGGCACCTCTGTGACCGGAAAAGAGACAACCTCTTAAATACCAGTGCTGGATGGGAGGGTAATGCTCCTGCCAGAGACAAGATCTCCCCAGAGTTGTTACATGGCTGCCTAAAACATGAAGGGTGACTCAGCCAAGCCCTTCATTCCATAGATGATAAGATGAAAGCCTACAACAGCTCAGTGCTTAGGACAGACACACAATTAGAATGGACAGGGGCAGGGCTCAGACCCAGTGTTCAAACTCAATAACCAACAGGCAGCATGCTTCACATGCCCTTCATTCATTCCGTCTCAGCTGTCCCAGGGACCACAAGCCGGTCACTGACAGCTGGACACCAGGCCCGTCCCAGGCAGGCACTCCCGCCCTAACCCTGCAGAGCAAGCACGCCAATCTTTGGGCTGTCAAGAGGCACTCTGTTCCAAAACACAGTGATCCCTTTCTCAGCATGGGGCTGCTGGGGCCCCATGCACAGAATCTGCTCATCTCCCCAGCCCTGGCTTCTCCCTAACATTCCTAGAGTAGAATCTGTATGAGGTGCAAACTTATTTAGTGCATGATTCTATAATTAATCTAGTATGCAAAGACACTATCAGCTAGGGTGTGAAGGCAAATGCCTTCAGTTCCAGCACACTGGAGGCAGAGGTGGGTGGGTCTCTGTGAGGTCCAGGCAAGTCTGGTTTACTTAGTGAGATTCTATCTTTAAAAAAAAAGTGATACAAGGACACACCCAGACTTTTCGAGGGACAGTTTTCTCCAAATGCTCTAGGTTTATGGTGAAGATCTGGCAATCTCTAGACTGATTCTCAGATTCACAAAGCTCAGATAAGGTCAGTGGTGAATAACAACAGGAAGCCAGAACCTCCAAGCCAGCACAGTGGACCATGAGGAGCCAGTAGGGAAGCTATCAGCATCAGCAACCTTAGATCTTCTCGCTACCAGGATGGCACAAAGCTGTTCAGAGGGGCCCTCTGGAACCCACAGAAGACAGAGTACAGGCTGGCATTCCAGGAGATCCAAGAAGCTCCAGGCCAATCTCTGTGTGAAAAGATGGTTAGTGTCACTAAAGCTTGAGGGCCTGTATTAAAGACCTGATCTCTGATGGCAGCATGGGGGTATGGTAAAGCTTTAGAAAGGGAGGCAGTTTGCTTAGGTCATGGGATGCATTCTTGAAGGAGACTGCGGGGCTGTGGCCCTTTCTCTCTTCTCTTAATGCATGAAGTAGACTGTTCTGCTTGCTCTGTACTCCACCAGGACCTGCTGTCCCTCTCCCAGCAACAACTCTATCCAGTCATAGCCTGGAATCTGCTGACCTGGGACCCCAAAGCAGCCCCTTCCTCTTTGTAATGTGGTTATCTCCAGTATTTGTCACAGTGCTGAAGTTACTAACCCTGACACCAAAGTGCATGGGGCAGGACTGAGCATGATCAGTTTCCCTCTCTCCTAAATCCCTGGAGTGACAAGTTTTGGGAACTTTTACCCGATACCAACAGCGCACGGTAAAGAGACTGGACAACATACCCACAGTGTAAATGCTATAGAGCAGAGGGGGTTGGAGTACCCAGGAGGGCCTCATCAGAGTAAAAGAGGACCAACAGTTGGCCAAGCTGAGAACACACTTAGGAAGCCGGTAGCTCTGCATCTCCTCATCCTACAGCTGGGTGACTGCCTGCCCTCATCTATATAGCCTGTTGGTGAGGAGCAAGGCTGCATGCTGAGAACCTCCAAGTCTCTTCTCACTCAATTCCTTCACTCACCTGTGTGTATGTGATGTACGGGAAGGCCAGAGGTCTGTGAGTGTGTGTGCCTATGTGGGTATGTGTGTGTGTGTCCGTGTGTGTGTGTGTGTGTGTGTGTGTGTGTGTGTGTGTGTGTGATGTATGTGGAGGCCAGATATCTATATCAGGTCTTTCCTTGATTCTTCGCTACCACTATTATCATGATCATCATCAAGACAAGGTCTCTCACTTACCCTTGAGCCTGTCACTAGACTGAGTTCCAGGCATCCGCCTGTGCCCATCTCAGCAGCACTAGAGTTATGGGCGTGTGTCACCAAGCCTGGCTTGTACAGGAGTCCACAAAGTACACACTCAGATCCTCACGCTTGCACGGCAAGCACGTTGCTGACCGAGCCATATCTCTGGCCCATGTAGACAATTCTGATAAAGATTAAAACACTAAAATCCAGAAAAAGAAAGACACAGGAGGATGATCGCAGCACCGATTTCAGGGCCATTTCTTAAATGTCCTTAACTTGCCTGACAGGGAAGCCTGGTGCGGCTCCTTTACGAGAGAGAGAGAACAATGGGGGGAATGCAAACCCAGTGAAGTTCTCCAGGTAGCCAGAGAACTGCCCAGGGAAGGGTCAAAAGGCAGAGAGGACTGCAGAGGGAGTCAGGATGTTGCTGAGTGGGGAACAAGACCACAGGCACAAAGGCTGTCTTCCTTTGGACACAGCCAAACAAGCTGACCTGCTTCCCTGGCCGTCTTGGTCACTGTCCTCTTCTATCACTTGCACCCTGAAATCACAGTAGGCATCTCCCAGCACAGCCCGAAACCCCAGTCAGTAATCTAAACCAGTGGTTCTCAACCTTCATAATGCTGTGACCCTTTAATACAGTTCCTTATGCTGTAGAGACCCCAACCATAAAATTATTTCATTGCTACTTCATAACTGTAATTTTGCTACTGTTATGAATGGTAATGCAAATATCTCATATGCAGATATATGACCTCCAAAGAGCTGCGCCCCACAGGCTGAGAAGCACTGAGCTAAGCCTTACTTGAGGCAACTCACCTAACCTTCCCTTCCTGTTACTAGCTGATACAGCAAATACACAGCCCCACTGAGCAGCTGGCTGGAGGCCCTCTGTGTCCAAGCCACTGATCCAGCACCCCCTCTTCCCCTTCACAGCCAGGTGTCTCGGCTTTGGCCCTTACCTGTCTCTGCATCTCTTCAATCTGCCTCTGTGGGATGTCCTGCAGGATGCTGTACATGTCTGCAATCTTGTCCTCTGGGATGACCACGGATGCCCTGGAGACAACAGCACTATTTACATGTGCACAGCCCTTCCAGAGAGCAACACTGTAAGTTGTCCAATTCCCTTCTCGTGAGCACAAACAAAGCCCCGGAACTCCTTCAGCCCTACCTCCTTCCCTGTCTGTCCTATCCTCCCCGGCATCACAGTCACTAACTACAGCAAATTCTGCCCTGCCGAAGGGCCTCTGCATGTGACATGCTGCATTCCTGTCCACCCTTCCTTACCCTTCATAGCACTCCCTAAATTAACAACTACTTCCCCTACTTAACATCTATACATTAACGTCTATACATCTATCCATTGATTCAGCATTTACTTATGACAGACCTACTACATGCTGGGCACTGACAATCCAACAGAGAACACCAGAAGAAAGTGAGGGGTGATCAGGGCCTAAGAAGGCCCATGAAAAGGGAGTTCCAGGCACGGGACTAAGGAGTGAAAGGCCAAGGAAGCATCACGTCGGGCATGGTCCAGGAACAGCTAGCTAGCTAGCAGGCTCCTCCGGCTGCCACAGAGTAAACAGGATGGAGAAGAATGTGAGTTAAGCGGAGGGAGCAGGGAGGTTGGGTTGCAGCAAGGCACACCAGACCTTGGAGGCCTCAGAGGACTGAGCTGGGAAACCACTAGGAGATGGAGGCAAAGGCTGAATAAGCTCCAGCAGGCCCATGCTGTCTGTGGGGTCAGTAAGTGACAGGAAGCAGGCCCAAGAGCAGGAAGAAGGACTGGAGCCCCTGCAGAGGCAGCAGAGCCACATAGCAGTGGAGCTGGGGGGCATGCAGGGCTTCCTACGCCCCACGCTCCACAGGATTCACTCACAGATTGGGTAAGGGGATACTGGCGCTGACTTGCAGAAGTACAGCATGCAGAGGGTGTAACTCTACTTGCATAAATAGCTCATTAAAATCCATTCCTGCCCATAGGTTAGTCCGCTCACCACTGTACCCAGAATGCCCAGTGCACAGCCTCGCACACAGCCAAGACTTCATGGACATCTGCTAAATAAGTACGTGATTTTTGCAAAAGAAACAGGACTGAGGACCAAAAAAAAATCTGCCATAATTTCAAACCTAGCCAGCAAGAGCTGGTTATCTGACCTCAGACCTCTGGCTCCAAGCAGAATCCTCCTGCTGCTCACCCATAACACAACACTGAGGCCGACCTTGATCTCTGTGGGAAGCCCTTTCACACCCGCTACATCACTGCTCTGCAAGGCTCGCGTAGGGAGGCCCAGTGAGTCTGAGCAATCACATCACACCATGTGGGGAACTGTGGGTTCACTGCTCTCCCATCACTAAGTAGAGAGCTTCCTTGAAGAAAGGCCTAACCTTGCTCCTTTTGGAGATCCTATGGCTGACTGACGCTGAGGGTTTGAAAGAAACGTCCCCATAGGCTTGAATGTTGAACACTCGGTTTCCAGCTGGTGGTGCTGACTGGGGAGCTTATGGGGAAGTATGTCACTGGGGGTGAGAGTCCATAGCCTCACCTGCCCGAACCCCAGCTCTCCCTCTGTGCAGTTCTCAACCTGTGGGTCACAACTCCTTAAGGGGTCAAAACAACCCTTTCACAGGGATTGCATATCAGATAGCCTACATATCCAATATGTACATTATAATTGATAATGGTAGCAAAATTATAGTTCTAAAGTAGCAACATAAAAAATTTTATGGTTGGGGTCACCACAACAGAAAGAACCATATTAAGGAAGTACTAACTGCATGAGGAAGGTTGAAAACCACTGCTCTAGCACCATGCGCCAAAATAAACACTTTCTTCCTAAGGTCACTTGGGTTACAGTATCTTATTGCAGCAACAGAAAACAAACTAGTAGTATAGTACTATCAAATACCAGGTGCTCAATAAATGCTTTCATGCCTAGATATTGCCAGGAGTAGTTCCTTGCTCCCCTAAGACATAAAAAAGGACTTCATATGCTCTTCTTACAAGTGGCCAGGCCCCTGTTCCTTTTCTGGGATCACACAGCCCTCTACACATACATCTGTTCATGTTACATGGGTTGAACACCGCAACCCAAAACTCCAAGATCCAAAGTGCTTCCAAATCTGGTTTGTTGGTCACCAGCATGGCACCACACATGGAAAATTCATACCACTAGACTCTGCTTGATGCACAGAATTATTAAAACTATCGTGTGGCTTCCTTGGAGGCCACCTGCATAAGCAGTCTATAGAATATAACAAATTTTATGTTTATACTTGGTTCCCTCAATAAGATGTATCACTATATGTAATTGATATTCCAAAGCCACAAGAACCCATAATCTGAAACACTCTGACCCCAACATTTCAGGTAAGATTCTAACCTCCTCAGGAGCAGAAACTACCCTATTATTAGATGATAAAATGCCATTTTCTTAAGAGCAGGCTTTCTAATAAATGTAAGATGGATGATAAGATATTATCAATTATTGCTATTTAAATTGTTCAAATGTCTTTGTTGTTGGATTAGGATAAATTATGATAAGGAGCTAGGGGAGAAGAAAGTGATTAATAGTTGTGGCAAATACATGGGTATGGGATATACAGCAAAGAAATTAAATTTCAACAGTCTTCCACCAGTCTTGTGGAAATGACATTTGGGATCACAGAGCAGTGATCTACACATGTCCCTCTGTCTTGGAGTTCCCAAGTTTTCCTCATCCAGATAGAGGCTTTCCAGCTACTGGCGGCCAGTACACTGTGCAGTTTCATAGCAACTTCACAGCAGTGGCTCTTGACTGCAGTTATGAAGCTAGTTACCAGGACACTCCAACTCAGAATCCCCGGGAAAAGGCCAGAAACTGTCCAGCTGTGTCTAAACTGCACCAGCTGAGGAGTGGCGACTGCTTCGTGGAAAGAATCAGGGAGTAAGTATCTTAGACTTTGTAAGCCACCCAGTCTCTGCAATTACTCAGCACTGTACAACTGACATGGAAATGAAGGCGTACAGCAGTGATTCACTAAGACTTTCCTTACAAAAACAGCCAGCCTGTGGGTTCGGCCCACTGGACTCTGAACTGTTCTAAGCCAATGCACTAAGTCTGATGGAAGACACAGCAAAGAGGCTGTAACAGCAGCAGCTGGGAATCACTCATTCTAGGCCTAGTCCCAAGGTGCCTTCCATTTTGGAATATTTGCATGAATATAACTTGGGACTAAATATGAAGATTTGTTTATGTTCTGAGCATTTGTGACACATACAAACTAAATAGACAGTATACCAGTACCCTTTGATTGTTCACTCTTGCCAAACTTCAGAGGCTATAAAACGTTCATACTTTAATATAATCGAAATGCCCAGATAGACAACTTGGGGAGGGACAGCAAGGCAACAGTTGCTTCCTGGAGGACTGTAGGGCTATCCCCTATCATATGTGCTCAGTGCTGGCCTCTGAATCCTCTTGGCCAATCTGGAGCCACAAACAACGCTCTAAAGAATGTGGCAAGCAGTGTGTCACACTCACATGGTTTTGGCCACACTCAAGGTCATTTTTTTTTTTTAATAATGGGCTTCAATATCATGCATGTATTTCAGGTACTTGGATCTTATCTACCAAACTATTTCCTTCTGCACGTCCCTACATAGCATTTTGACTGTGAGCTATTATATAATGTCCAGTGTGGAACTGTGCACCTGTGGCATTCGTGACAGTGCTCAAAAGCGTCACACTCTGGAATGTTTCCAACTTACAAGTTAGGCACTCAACCTGTAGTTCTCAAAACTGCGTTATCTATCACGATGGTCTTTCTTTCCAATATTGGCCAAGCCACCAGCTACGGTTCACTAGATGGTATACCCACCTCTTCCAGTCAAGAACTTCAGAGAAAGGCAGAATATAGGAGTCTGCAATGATGACTGGGACACAGCCAGCCTGTAAGACATCGCTCAGTACCGCCTGACCCAGTCGAGCTCCTCGAAGGACCACACAGAAAGTGGCCTCCTGCAGCAACACAAGAGAAGGCTGAGGTTACAAAGCAGTCTCACGGATCATTTACTCGGATCCCTGCACACTGTGGCGTCCCTCAAGGCTTAAAGCTGAGCAGCACCGAGGCATCTAGAAACTGCTAGAAGACCTCACACCTTCGGAACAGGAAACTGGCTGTAGAACTTCCCACCTTACTTCTTCAGTGCACCCCCAGTGCCACCAGGGCTGGTGGTCTGCACTCATTCAGAGTCAGCATCAAAGACTTCCTCTGATCAGGTGACCACATGAGGTGCTGCAGATGGGCTTCCATGAGTGCTGATGAACTGGGAACACACATGGCATGTGGTCTCGACACCTCGCTGCCAGCCTGCAATGGGGAAGGCCGTCTAGAGGACCATCGTAAGTAACATCAGGGATCTCTGCTGTCACCTGAGTCCCCTAGGCCCTAGCAGTGTCTGTCTGTAGAAGGTAATCATTAATGGTACACAGCCTTGAGAAGGCTTTAAAATATGTTCTATCTAGAGACAAGAAGTCCAACAAAAGTGAACTCCCAGACGATCTCTTCCTCACTCTCTCTTACCTCTCAGTGTGGGGAATGCTGGAAATGGAAGATGTAAAGAGAAAGAACAGGTACCATGGGCACCACATCCTAAAATGAGACCCTAATTCTCTTGTTCCCAGATTCCCCACTTTCTGTTTCTTCAGGAGGAAATGAAAGGATTTAAAAATAAAACGTGACCTGATCTTTAAAGTGAGGGAAAGAAGCCAGGCCAAGTGGCTCCTATCTGTAATCTCAATATTTGGGAAGATGAGGCAGGGTATCCCTTTGCACACGGGGTAGCCAACCTGGGCTACACAGGCAAACTCTGGTTTAAAAAGTAATAATAATAATCCTGTTCCCCCTTGTCCTCCCAAACAAAATAAATATAATTTTAAAAAAGAAAACAGTATCTTAAAACTGATTACTGAACTGAGTGAATGTACTATTGGGGCTGGTGAGATGGCTCAGCCAGTAAAAACACCTGCTACCAGGTCTAACAACCTGAGTGTAATACACCCAAGGGGTGGAAGGAGCAAACCAATGCCATCAAAGATGCCCTCTGACCTCCACACGCTGTTCTGTGGTATATGCACATGCACACACACATCCACACCAAACAACCTAATAAAACATTTTGTTTAAAAATAGGGAAAGGTCAGGAAAAATATGAGAAATTCAATCTCCCAAATGCCTCTGGATTTTTCACAGGAGAGAAGTATCGGAGGGGGTGGGGCGAGCCTGGCGCCTAGGCTGCAGTGGGCAGCTTTCCTGCCTGAGGAGCTTCGGCCAGATGTGGACACATGCCGATAGTTCTTCCTGTCCAGACAAAGGTTACTATAAACACCGCCTGCATCTCCACCATTATCAGCCAGAGACTCCTGGGGGAGACGGCACTTCTTGAGAGAGTATGCTAACAATCTCAGGATGGGCCAACTCTCTGAAGATTTTTTAAATTAGTAAATACACAAATATATAAAATTACATCACCTCCTTGATAGTTCTCCTTGAACTAACTTAAATGTTTAAGAGAGAAAGGCTCCAACTCTCCTTTCCTAGCCGCCCCCCCCAGGCCCTAAAATGTCATATAGTCTGCCTATAAACAGTCCCCAAAGGGCTTTGCTTTGTGCTTATGGAGGAACACATTTATAATGGAAGTAAAGGGTGTGCTGTGGGTGACCAAAACCAGAGCAACAAGAACAGCTTGATGCTGAGGGAAAGCCAACTGGCCCTGTGGTCTGGAGATGCTTTTCTCTGGACCAGCCTATGAATACAGGGGCAATAGCAAGAAACATTTGTGTGCTCTGCCTGTACAGCTTCTTGGGAAGCCAGAGGATTTGCAACTCTGAAGTACAGTGAGTATCTGAAAGGATTCTTAACCTCTGCAGACCGAGCAGCCTCACACAACACCACCCCCTCAAGCTCCCTCCAGCAAAGAGCCACGTCTTCTCCCCTTGGTTAATACCCGGTTACTTGTGGAAAACAGCTCCTGGTACTGAGGTCTGTTTCATTCCACGGTGGCAGCCCGCCCTGAGACTGGCAAGGTCTTGAGTGGCACTCACCTGCAGCACCTGGGGGTAATCAAAGGCCTGGTGCTGGTGGCAGCGCTTGCGGACAGAGAGGGTGCCTTCCGAGAGATTGGTGCATTTGTCCAGGACTAACACCGACTCTTTGTGTTTGGCCTGGAGGGCTTCTAGTTCCTCTCTGTACTCAGGGTGGATGGCCATCTGAGAGGACAGCAGAAAGTACCGCCGGGGACTACAGGAGAGAAGAGAACGCCACTTGGGATCAGTCAGTCAGGTCAGACAAAGTTTAGCGTTGAAATTCCAGGAACAGGTATTTGCTGGCCAGTATCAACATACACCATTCATTTTTAAAATTATACTGAATCACATTACTGGATATTTAAAACATTGCACTATATAAAAACAAGGTATGACTCACTTGCATTCCGAAATATGAAACCACAAAATTTTTTATTTAGGCAAAGCTCTTTTCTTTTTCTTTCTTTCGTTTTTGTTTTTGTTTCTTTTTGTTGTTTTGTTTTGAAACAGCATCTGTCTATGTACTCCTGGCTGGCCTACAACTTTCTGTGTAGACCAGGCTAGTCTCAGTCTCACTGACATTTGCCTGCCTCTGCCTCTGCGTGCTTGGATTAAAGACCTGTACCACCATTCCCAGCAGAAACAGTTCTCAATATGTGAAGAAAATGCTCACAGCATGCTAATATTCCAGTGTGTCCTATAAACACAGATATGTATACACAGAGAAAAAACAGGCTGACTACTTAGACAGAACAAGAAAAAGTTACCCTTTATTTAACTTGAGTCTGGGGTCTGAGGAGAATATGAAAGCTGGCTGCATTCTTCAAGCGAGACACAAGGAGTCCCCTTGATGGGCCACAGTGCCAAACAATACACTATGCTATGCAAGTCTCCAATCTCAAGGCCACATGGGCAGAAAAGAAAGCTAAAATCCAGAAATAGGGTGGGGGTTGGGGGATTATCCTTACCACAACATAGGACCCATCCCAACACATGGGTGGTAAGGATACAGAAAGCAAACAGAAAGAAGAAAGACACCAAAGGTCCACTGCTATGCAGGTCTCCAAAGACAAAAATATGAGAATGGGGCACACGTTAGATGTCCCAGATACTCACGAGGTTGAGGCAGGAGCTGACTGATCATGGGGTTTCAAGCTCATCAACAGATTTATAATTTATGAATTATAAAGTGAGATTACTTAGCCCATAAAGGTACTTGCTACCAAGCCTGATGACCTGAGCTCAGTCCCTGGACCCCACATGGTGGGAAGAGAGAACTAACTCTCATTAAGCATCCTCCTATTGCCGCCTGTGCACTGTGGCGCGCGCACACACGCACGCACACACACACACACACACACACACACACACGAATTCACAGATGCACTCACACATGCAGGAAAGCACAAATAAGCATAAAGAAGTTGATAATGTGATGGGTTCCCGGGAGGTGGTGGACACGTTAGGAGGGGACCACTGGATGAAGCATGTGGCTGAGGTGTGATTGAAGCATGTGTTCTGACTCTGGTCCTGCCGCTTCCTTCCAGCTTTCCTGGCCGCTATAAGATAAGCAGCTTTGTCCCACCACATATGCACACCACCAGGGTGCCCTGCTTTGGCAGGACCCAGCATGAACTGAAGCCTCTGAAACATGAGCTAGACCCTCCCTCAAGCAAACAAGACTATCAAGGAGATGTGGGAGAGTAGACAGTGACTCTTGCCTGCAAGGCAAGTCTCCTACAGTACAGAGCAGGTGGGACACAAGGAAGGGGCTCCATAGGCCGGGGGGTCACCGCAGATGAGAAAATTCATATAAAACAGGTTCTGAGAACACGAACCACCTCTGCTTACTCTGAAAAACAGTGCATTGACACATATATCCTGCTCAAAGTGGTACAAGTCAGGGGAAACACCAGAGCTATGTGTTTTGGCCACAGGCTAATAAAGCCCACAGTTCTGTGAATGTGTCTCTTCTAACTGAAGAGAGCCTTGGCCACAAACTCACAGCCACATGGGCAGAAGAGGATGCTAAAATCCAGAAATAGGGTGGGGGTTGGGAGATCAGCCAAGGACCATTCACTGTAACTGAGGTTACCTTCCCAGAGCACGAAGCTTCAAGTCCAAAGTCCACTTCAGTGAGTGAAGACACACAGAATAGATAATCACAGTGTGGAGACATTGAGGACATGGGAGCCAGAAAGAAGCTACAACCATGGAAGGCCAGAACCAGCACAGCCCCACAGTGGTGGAGGAAGCTGGAGCCAAGAGTGGCAGTACACATCTGTGATCCCAGCACGGGAGAGCTGAGGCAGAAGGCTGACATGCTGGAGGCCAACCTCAAGTACATAGTAAGAACCGTCTCTCAAAATTACATAGACACAGAGCTGGAGGGAGAGGGGCCACACAGGCCTGAGGGCCTGGGTTCAGTCCCCGCATCACTGTACTCCCAGAGCCAGGGAGGGGGAGACAAGAGGATCCCTGAGGCTTCCTGGCAGCCAATCTAACAGTCAACAACTCTAGGTCAATGAGAGAGCCCTCAAAGGAGAGGAACATCATTCTTGAGTATGACATCCAAGGTCATCCCTCTGACACACATGCACATGTATGCATGCAAGCTCCTACTCAAACACACACACACACACAGACACACACACAGTGCTATACAGATTCAGAAATAAACACGTTAATATGTGGGTCTCAAAGGAACCTAAGCAGAGAAACACACGGCTGTATTTCATTGTTTCACTGTTCAAAAGGTGTCAGGCCTACTAGAGCTCCATTCATTGAGCCCCACAGCTCCACTCCAACAAATATGCAGATGTGAACAGACTCAAACAGGTTCCCCTGCCTGTGTGTGCACTGGCTCTCTCTCACCCATGGGGCAGCAGATGGACTGTGCCCCTTTTAATTTTAACTACATAAAATTTTCAGGTAGATTTGTTTTTTGTCTGAGGACTAAAGTTAGCTATGATTCTCAGCCAGCTCCAGCCCCACTAATCTAAGTAAAAGCCAAAAATGTGCTGAGAACTTGATGTCTCCCTCAAAAGCAAGGGTTGTAAACTCCTTATTTAGCTCCTTTTAGAAGGAAAATGACAAGAATCCCAGCTAACCCCACCACCGCTGTGAGAAGCAGCTATCAATAGCAACAAGTCTCAGCTTCCCATTGAAAAAGCGCTGGGAGAGCTTTAAAATAAAAATGAAAACAGCATTGCTATGCTGGACAGCCCCCGGGAGATGTGGGAATTCCCCAAGAAACACCACTCACAGAGGGCAGGACCCCAGCATGCTGTCTCCAGGGCACCCTCCCTGCCTTCCTGAGGGCCCTGGGAGGGCCAAAGCCTGTATTCACCTTTAGTCTTTGAAGGGATGTCCTTTATAAAAGTAATGTAAAAGTAAGGCCCTGCTTCCAGGTGGCTAGGGAGGGAGAGCCCTGTCCTGTGAGCCCTTGGCCTTCAGGCTCTCTCAGGTTACTGAACCAAATAAATGTAAAACTAATAATTGTAACCTCAAGTGATCTCAAAGTCCATGCAGTCATATGTAAAAATCAGAAAGATCAAATTACTAGGAAAATACCATAGACAACAACAGTGTAAATCTCTGAAATTCATCATCTGAAAGTGGTCTCTGGCATTTCAGTGCTTACCCACCTTTGGGCTTCGGTGTTTTCATTTCTGGGTTAAAGTGGGAGTGAATGACAGAGTCCTGAACCAACAGAACCCCAGCTGGATGACGACACAGGCAAATCACAGTGAGTTTAGAAAGGTGTGCCAAGCAGACAGGCCCAGAGGCACTGACACCCTGCTGGCCAGTCCTCACTGCTTGAACCAACGTATCTCAAGTTTCTCAGCCACAGCCCTGATGACATTTGGGGTCATTCACTCCCTGTTGTGGTGGTTGGCCTATGCGAGGGGTTAGCATGGCAGGCCTGCTGCTGTCCTGTGAAACTTCTGACTGTTAGGCTGGCTTCTTGACTGGTGTCTGGGAACATGGATTGTGGATAGTTCCCAACACCCACAGAACTGGTAAGAGAGGTTCCTGTGCCCAAAACATGCATACAAGGCAGTCTGTCCCAGGCAGGTCCAGCCTATCTCATGGTACATTAACATGCCAAACTGAAGATCCTGGGTACATGACAAAAACTTGCTGGCTCCACAGGAACCAACTGGCCTATACAGACCACCCACTCGGAATGTAAACAGATCCATCCTTGGAACAGGATGTTGAAGTACAGCAGTTTCCCTAGCCTCTGAATTCTCTATGAGAATTGTTTGTGAAGAGCTAAGGAAAGAGGCACATGCCTGTAATCGTGGCACATGGGAGGCAGAGCTGGGAGAATTGTCACAAGTTCAAGGCTCTGTAAAGTGAGTTCCAGGCCAGCCTGAACTATAGAATATGAGCCTCTCTTAAAAGAATTGTCTGTGAAGTGTGCATGGAGGCCCACACCTATAACATCAACCGATGAAAGGCAGAGAAAGAAAGATACTACAAATCTGAGGCTAGCCTGGACTACATAGTAAGACTCTGTCTCCAAACAACAAAAGCTAGGAATGTGTTATAGGTCCTTGGCAGACCTTGTCAAGCACACACAAAGCCTTGGTTCAATCTCAAACTCTGAAAAACAAACAAACAAACAAACAAAGAATGTCTTTGATATTTTCATTTTGATAATAAAAAAATAATTTTATTTTGTTCTCATTTAATTATATATATATATATTAATTTTAAAAAATTAATACCTGCTACAGTTTAAACACTCCTAACAAAATTCATGCTAACATTTTGTTTTTGTTTTTGGAAAGAGGGTTTCTCTGTGTACCCCTGGTTGTGTTGGAATTCACTCTGTAGACCTGGCTGGCCATGAACTCACAGAGATTTACCTGCCTCTACCTTTCAAATGCTGGGATTAAAAGTGTGTACCTGGCTCAGGCTGAGATTTAATTCCCACTGTGAAGAGTGAAGGAGGAGGAGACGTCATTCAACTATAGTCTGTGGAGGTGAGACCGCTGGGAGGTGCTTACAGTTAGATGAGGGTGCTGCCCTAACCCAGTGGGTCTGTAGCTCTATAAAAGAAGGGGAAGATGCCCGGACAGGAAAGTCTGTCTCACTGTATGACACCCGGTACCCCTCAGCAAGAAGGCCTGGCCAAGCACAGCTGCTTGTCCTGACATCCAAGCCTTGGAGGAGGAAGAGGAGGAGGAGGAGGAAGAAGAAATAAGTTTTATGCTTAATAAGTCACTCAGGCTGTGGTACTCAGAGCAACAGGCAACAGTGTGCAGGCTTGTATTTCATGAGACAGTGAGAAGAAAGGAAGCCTTGAGTATAATCACAGATGCATGTGTAAGAAACGCGAGGAGGGGCATCTATAGCATGTTATGCTCACTGTGCTCAGTCCATGAGGGGCGGGGACCCACCCCAAAGTTGATGCGTGCCAGGCAAAGCTGGGCTACATCAACAGCTACGGTGAAACGATTTTCAATCTCTACTATCTGCTTAGAAACGTTCATAATAACTTTTGGGAACGCTATGAATCATGCATTCATATGAGATGAAGATAGATGATGTCATGATACGCTATATGAAGAGCAGCTTCCTGGTGGATCAAGCAGAGAGCACGCTAGAGCGCAGCGCATTATCACTCAACAGGCAACCCTACAGGCTTGCTGATACTACTGAACCGTCCACACCTCCATACTCACCTGAAAGGACCGAATTCGCTTCAGAGAAACACCCTCCAACCTCACTAGATTATAGGAATGTGGATGCTATGTCTTGTCAAATGTTAGTACTTCACTTGTAAACCATCCTCGTTTTACAATTATAGAAGCGCCCTGCCCTTACACTGGTCTCTTAAAGCAGATTTTATTTTACATTATGTGTATGTAGGAGGGTGGGATGTGCCCATGAGTACAGGTGCCCTCGAAGGCAGAAGTCTGTCCCTTGGAGCTGGACTTACAGACAGCAATGAGCTGCCAGTGAGAGTGCTGGCAGGTGAACTTGGGTCCTCTGCAAGAACAGGATGCAATTCCCACCACTGACCCAGCTCTCTAGACTTAATGTTTTTAAATTACACTTACCTATGTTGTGTTGCATCAAAAACAATTAAAATGTAAAGGGCTTTGACACGCAGGAGGATGGATCCGCACCCTCCCTCACACAGCACACTCAAAACACACCACAAACCTAAAACTATAAAACACTCTTAAAAGAACACGTGTGTAAACCTAGCATAACTTGATTCAGCAATGATCTCTCTTTTTAATATTGACATTTACACAAAAAGCAAAGCAACCTCAGCAAAAATCAGGGCAAGTAGGGGCTGGGAGACACCCAGGCTGGAAAGCACTTGTCGTGAAAGCAGGAGAACCTTAGTTCAGTACCCAGCACTCAGGTAACACAGTGTGTGTGCCTGTGCCTTCCATCCTAGTGCTGGGGACACAGACAAGGGGGCTCACGAGGCTCCCTAGCCAGCCACACTCCATGAACTGGCGAGCTCCAGATTTAGTGAGAGACTCTGCCTCAAACATTAAGGTGGACAGCGACTGAGGAAGACATGTGACTACTTCAGGCCTCCAAACACATGTACAAATGCTGCCTCCTAACCCCAGAGAGAAAGATAAGAGAGACAGAGACAGAGAGAGACAGGAAGAAACAGAGCAAGACAGACAGACAGACAGACCAACAGACAGGCAGATGGATGACATCAGTCTGGATGGATGGAGAGAGAGAGGAACAAAGGAAGGGAGGGAAATTGGACTTCATTAAAAGTAGAACCTTTTGTACATCAAAGTCACTATCAAGAAAGTAAAAAGAAGCCTACAGAACAGGAGAGAATATTTACAAATCACATACCCAGTGAGGCAGCCATGTCTGGACTATATAAAAATTCTTAAAATTCTACAATATGAAGGCAATTCAAATATGAACAGGCATTTCTCCAAAAATGTCAAATAAATGACCATAAGCACAAGAAAAGACATGCAGCACCACGGATCACTAGGGAAACGCAAAGTGAAGCAACAGTGAGACAGTGTCCCACGTGCCCCAGGGTGGCCAGAATCAAAGGCACAGACCATGGCAGTGCTGCACAGACCAGGAGGACTGGAAACCTTATCCAGTGCCGGCTGGTGTGCACAGTGCTGCAGCCTTTGGGAACTGCTCTGGTGCTTCTTGTAACAAGTTACAAGAGAATTACCACATGGCTCAGCAATGCCGCTCCTCAATATGAAGCAGAGGGACTGAAAACTGAGGCTTCCACAAAGGCCTTTACTGGGAAGTGCAGTACAGCTAAACATTAGAAAGAACCATGCTGCCATCCACTGATGACTGGGTGAATCAAACATGGTGCAGACACACAATGAAGTGGCCAATGAAGAGAGACATTCTCATTCTGGCATTTCTTGTGCAGGCAAAGGATGCTCCTATCCCTATCATGTCTGTTTAAAACTCACTGAGTTCCCACCATGAAACAACTTCTAAGCAGTCTCCAGCAAAGAAAGGGTTAGACAGAAGGCCAACCCATCCATGCAACCAGACCTTTTCCCTTACTCCACACATGAAAATACGTGCCAACCAGATGTCAAACCCACTACGGTGGTTAAAGAGCAGACCTGGCCTGTGCTCTATCACACTGGCAGAGACCACAGAGAGCAGGCCTTCCATGAGACATGATGCACAAGTGTCACCTTAGGAAAGGCAACAGAAAGCTGGAGACTTTGCTCCAGGGCAAAAAAGTGTGGCCCACCCCTTCCCAAGCAAGCAGTTTCAGGTGGAAAGTTAAAAGATGACCAGGACATTAGACTGACAGAGATAAGGAGAAAGGTTTCCAGGCAGGGCTGGGGAGATGGCTTGCTTGGTAAACTACCTGCTGCACCAGCCTGGTGACCTGAGTTCAGATCCCCAGAGACATGGTAGAAAGCCAGGGTCCAGACCCCAGCCTGGGTGGGAGGCTGGGAAATGGGAAGGATTGAGGGTTGAGGCAAGTGGATCTTTGAAGTTCATTGGCCAGCCAGCCTAGCCATATTGATAAGTTTCTGGTTCAGTGAGAGACCCTGCTTCAAGAACAAAAAGCAGAGAGCGATTGGGGACAGATACCTGAGGGCCACCTTTCCCTATATACACACATACATAGACACATATATGCACACACCACAAATACACACATGCATACACATGTGCATGTGTCCACAACACACACACACACACACACGTTGAAGAGTAATTTTACAGAAAAGCAGGGAGACAAAAACTATATCATCTGTGAGTGGCTAGAACAAGTAAAAGGCCCAGTTCTGCTGATCCAAAGCTGCAGGATCTCCATGACACAAGGCAACAACAGGATAACCCGAAAGAAGCCTGGTGAGCATCCAATATTCATGGTATCACAAAAGCCAGAGATCTCAAACCAGGCCAGTGACTCACTGCAGTGAACCTCTGCAAGACGTGTGGGCAGAGGGGTGTACTCTGGGACACGCTGGGACACACAACAGCTTCCACAGTGAGATACTCTGTGCTTTGCTTTTCTGTTTGTTTGATTGGGGTTTTGCTTTGTTTTGGTTTATCTTGTGGTTTTTTGTTTTTTTTTGTTTTTTTTTTTTTTTGGTTGGGGGAGATTGCAAGGGTAAAGGGAGGATATGAGGGGATGGGGAGATGAGTGGGACAGGTGCATGAAGTGAAACTCGAATCAAAAATAGAAAAATAAATAAAAAACAAAACAAAACAAAAAACAGAGAGAGCAAAGTCTGCTCTAAAAACTGGCTGTGCTGAGTCACCTTACCCAGGCGCTTTCTCGGGGAGAGCCACCTCAGCAGACAGTCGGCTGAAGACAGGAATGCTGACATCGTAGCCCTGCCGGTAAGTCCAGGCAGAAAAGCCGCCCCCGGCCAACAGTGCCCTGCAGGGAGAAGACTTCGTTAAAAACTGAGAAGAAAGGCTCTCACAGTAAATGCCTTTGGGAGGGATGGCAATGACTGAGTCCTAACAAACACAACCCACAGTGAGAGTCCCTGTGCCTGAGAAACACTGACACAACTCTAACTCACACGCACCACCCAGGCATCAGCTGCTTCCCATCAAATAACCAGCCTTCCTCCACCACCTAACATCTTTCCTTACTTTCCATTAAAAAAAAATTACTGTGTTTTTATTTTTTGATTTGTGTGTATGTGTATGTGAGTGAGTGTGTGTGTGTGTGTATGTGTGTGTTTATACATGTGAATGTGCCACAGTACATGTGTAGAGATCAGGACAAGCTGTGAGAGTTAATTCTGTCCATTCACCATGTGGGTTCCATGGATAGAACTCAGGTCATCAGGCTTGGTGACAAGCCCTCCTGACCCACTGACCGACCTTATCAGCCCCTGTACTTTCTCCTGCAGATCCCCCTTGCCTCCCTGGAAAGCCCTCCTTTATCCTTTTGAAATTTTTTATTTTAATTTTTTATGTGTATTTAATTTAGACACTACTTGTGTGCAGTGCCTAAGGAGACCAGAAGGGGGGCACGGGATCTCCTGAGATTAGAGTTACATAGACAGCTGTGAGCAGCCAGCCCTGTGAGTGCTGGGAATGAAATCCAGATCCTCTGGAAGTGCAGCTAGGACTCTTTACTGCTGAATCAGCTCTCCAGTCTCCACACTTCATTCTCAACACACCGACGGCAACAGGAGGTATAGCAGGCCTAAGGGAAGGCGAGGCAGAGTTCCTCAGTCTCTCCTAGAATCTCACAAGACTACGGGCAAGGAAAGCAGAGGTGCCAGCAGCTATCACATCTCACACTACACCAGCCCAAACTCTCCCCAAGCAGTCCTGCCATCCCAGAGCTGTGTCACTCCCAGCCTCCACCAGCTCCCACCATCCCTCCATTCCCTGGTGGATAAGCAGAGATGGGCTGTGGCCGCAGAGCCTCTCTTGGCGTTTGTGGGCACTAGAGTTCCTTCTCCTTAATTACAAAACACTGACCACATTGTTTAAACTGGGTGTGGCACGTGTGACAAGGACACTTCATCAGACAAATGAAGCAGGCGTGGGTCACACCATCTTTGGCTGTTCCTCTGCCCCAGAGTCCCAACCCGCCAAAAGCTCTTTCTGGGGTGATTTTGCTAGTTTGCACACACCTCAGAGTCTGCACAATGTCTAAACTGGAAAACATCATTTTTCTTTTCAATATTGATTACTACCAATCTCCTCTGCACCCTGATAACAGCTTACACTTCCTTCTAAAGTGGCCAGTTTAAGTTCAGAGATTCTCAAACTTACTCTGGAACCCCACTCTGTTTGCTTCAGCCCTCTGAAACCAAGAGCTGGCCTGGGTAACTAGCAGGCTCAGAACCTCTCCAGCTGCCTGTCCACCTCTAAGCTGTAATGACTATCCCCAGTACCAGCACTCGCTGATGTTTTCCTGAACACTGAATCCACCCAACATGAACTTGGGTGGGTTCCACAGGCTGTGATGGCAAGCAGATCCTGTAGGGTTCAGGGCCACTGTGCGGTGACACAGACATGGACACCATAGGCAGGCGCCAGGCAGTACAGGTAAGCCAGCATTGCGGGTGATTAGGCTGTTAGCCCCACAGGAAAGCTGCGTGCGGGTTTGCTTCCTTTCTCACATTGACATTCACTGTTGTTCTGTTCTTGTGGCCTCAAACATGTTATTACATTGCAGGGGGGTGGGGCAGGTGTACAAAGGCAGCCAAGAAGCGTGTCTGAAGCATACCTGTGTCTCACACACACACACCATCTCCCTTTGTGACCTTAGAAAGAACCCCAACGGCAGGAGGTCAAACTGTCCTCAGGCTAAGCGTATACTGAGGCTCCTCCACTGTATGCCCAGCCTCTTCAGCCGAGCTTCCCATGGCATTGTAATGGAGAGAGAGCCAGCTACCCTCACTTCTGAGGACACATGTTTCACATTGACTGCAGAGCAAATTTCTGAGCAGGACGTTCTGTTTTCCCACCACAGATCTCCAAAGCGAAGCTCAGTTCCATCCACAAGAGATGGAATGGAAAACTTGTGGCCAGGAACTCTGAGTTGATGATCCTGCCGATGGTAGGCCAAGAGGTCAACTGGGAAGGGCTCCAGCATGGGACTAGCCAGGGTTTCCTGACTGTAGGACACTTCCTCTGTCATCAATACTGAGCCTTGCTCCCACTGCCCCTTGACTCCCATCCACACAGGCTGCTCACAGGCCTCCTCCTACTGGCTGAGCACTCACAGGGTCAAATACAGGAGGCTAGTCATTTGATCAATTTATTTACAGAAGTATTGTTGAGGGGCTGGGGATATGGCTCAGAGGTTAAGAGCTGCTGACAGCTCTGCCAGAGGTCCTGAGTTCAATTCCTAGCAACCACATGGTGGCTCACAACCATCTATAATGAAATCTGGTGCCCTCTTCTGGAGTGCAAGTGTACATGCAAACACAACATTGTGTACATAATAAGTAAATAAATCTTTTAAAAAAAAGTATTGTTGAGCAAGGCGTGGTTCACATGCCTTTAATCCCAACACTCAGGAGGCAGAGATTGGCAGATCTCTGTGAGTTCGAGACCAGCCTGATCTCCATAGGGACACTCTGCCTCAAAAACAGACAAAACAAACCAACAATTTAAAAAGAAACCTTGCTGAACAGAGCATGCTGGTATCTCAGCGCAGAAACCTTCGGTAGCAGACTGAGTTTGAGGCTAGTCTGGACTACACACAGAGAGGGAGGGTATCTAAAAAACAACACCAAAACATATTATGTGGCTGAAGAGACAGCTCTGCAGTTAGGAGTGCTTACTCTTGTTACAGCACACCAGGGCTCAGGTCTCAGTACATACAATTGTCAGTAACTCCAGTTCCAGGGACCTCTTGCCCTCTGGCCTCCAAGGGCACTACTCACATGAGGTGCACATAAACTCATGCAGATACACCCTTACATGAAAACAAATCTTTTTCTAAGTACTGTCAGCATTTCAGGTATGATAATAGTATTATAGCTAACACAGAGATCCACACTGGAATGTCTGCATATGTCATGACATGAGGTCTGCAATCTTCTGCTAGATAATTGGGGGAAGAGTATATTCAGAACACATAGACCAAAGCTGCCCAGAGGTGATGAGGATGAGGCTGACAGTAGGGTATGGAGTTTATTGTGCTAACCCCCTCTTTTCTTGAACAGGATTAACATTTCCCTAACGAGTTCAAATAAATGACTATATACACCCACGCCCACAGACATATGTACAAGACATAGTCAAAGAAAAGTCAATGAAAATCCAAGGTAAAAATAGTCTAGAATATATCTGAGAAAATTAACATCAGTTAAGCATTAAAGAGATCCAATATGCTCCCACTAAAGTTAAACTTAGTGTGCATGTGTGTGTGTGTGTGTATATGTGTGTGTGTGTGTATGAGTGTGTCTGAACTCATAGGAGAAAAAAAGGACTAGAAAACAAAATAGTTGTGCTAGTTTTAGCTGTCAACTTGGTACAATGTAGAATCACCTGGGAAAGAATTTTTAATAATGAATTTTCTAGATTATGCTGTCCTGTGGGCATGTCTGGGAGAAGGAGGTTATCTTCATTATGCTATGTGGGAAGACCCAGCCTCCACGGAGCTGCCACTATTATTCCCTGGGTGTGGACTGTCAGGAGCAGAGCAAGCAAGAGGAGTGAGCACCATTCTCCCTCTTCTCTTCACTTGATGTGAATCCCTGCTTCACAGTCCTCCTGATGTCCTTGCAACGACAGACTGCAAGCCAAACAAACCCAGGGAGACAATGTTCTAACAGTGAGGGCCTCTCTCTCTCTCTCCCTCTCTCTCTCTCTTTCTCTCTCTCCCTCTTTCCCTCCCTCCCTCTTTCTCTCTCTGGAATGAATTGAAAAGAAGCAGGTGGTTTAGTTGTTTAGTTTGACTCCTTACACATTTGCATGTAGTTCAACTCTTGCACGCAGTACATATGTGTTACGTGTACTGTTCCTCAAAATTCGAAGAGAAAGAGGAGCACATTTAAACAGCATAAAAGATACATTTAGGGTTTGGACTCCAGCTCAGGGGTAGAGCAATGGCTTAGCATGCTGAAGGCCCTAGATCCTACTTCAGTTCAGATCCTTACATATCCTTACATTCCTCTAAGCAAAATACTGCATAAGCAAGCACATCTATGAGCTCAGACTTCAAGGATCTGATCTAGCTCACCTGCCTTCTAATTCCAGAACAATCAGACACTCAGCAGCAGCTGACACTACTCTACATTTCTCCAAACACACAAGAAAGGGTATAAAGACTTGAAAAACACACCTGGGACTTCTCCTGTGCAGAAAGCCACCAAGAAATCATAGTGACATGTGCAAGACAGAGGCCAACTGCATGCTGATCAAAACAGTTTCACCTTCCTGTTCCTACCACCCAAGCACCAACTACCAAGAACTCCACCATCCTCCTGCCTGCTTGGCACCATTCTACATCTAATCTTGATTAAAAGTGAAATCGGTCTCATGTGCAGAGCTTATAGCAAGATAGACAGTGAAAGTGAAGTGTCCCATTAGGCGTGGTGGCACACGTCTTTAATGCTAGCACTCACGAGACAGGCAGGTGGTGGACCTCTATGAACTGAAGGCCAGCCTGGTTCACATAGTGAGTTCCAGGACAGCTGGGTCTACATACTGAGAATACTTTTTTTTTTTTTAAAGGGAAATGTCCCAAGCAGAACAAACGGAACAAAGCCTTCTGAAAGCACACCTCAACAGGAGGGGTAGGCACTGCTCCCCATCAGCTTCCTCCTAAATTCCTCTGTTCTCAAAAGCATCTCCCTGCCTTAAAACAACATCAGCAACTGTCTAGCCCTGTGAGCATCCTGAACCCACATACACATAACCTGTTACATTTTAAAGCCAGGGAAGCAATCGTGCCCTTAATGCTTACATGATGTTAGTTCTCTCAGTTCTACAACCTTGGAATTTTATTATTTGCCCATATTCTTTACAAAGGTGTGCTTTTGGCTGGGTGTCTACGAAAGCAGCTCGCTCAGAAGGCCAGCTGGGATCACCTGGGTTAAGTGCTGCTGTAGACTTGTGTGGTCACACTGCCCTCTGCTGTCCATAGTGTTCTCTCTAGCCTGTGTGCTCACACTGCCCTCTGCCGTCCACAGGCTGTCTACATTATCATGTGTCTTCTGGCAATCATCCTATTGCCAGACAGAGAGAAACTCAAAACTGACTTCAGATAGCATAGAAGGTACAGACTGGCCACCTGGGCAGACACATGACACACAGTACATTTCCACAGGTGACAACATTAGCCTCTGACAAGCTGAACACAGCTGATCTTGGGATGGACCCTTTGTCAGTAACAGTGATCCCAAGTTCATCCAACAAGGCTGTAGAAAAATGAATCTGCCCACACACTCTTATTACCTGTAACTGGAGCACATTCCTGAGCTAGGGCCAACCTGCTTTCCTCAACACTGTGAGCCAAACTCAAACAGCAGTGACATGCCCAGTACCTCATTCTGGAACTTTCCAGGAGCCTTGGGCTAGAGTGAGTAAGCAGGAAACGTGTGTGAAAGGGCAGGAAACGTAAAAAGTGAGCTCAGAATCAGGAGCGTGACTGGCAGCCACCTCTCCCCACTTCTGCCTGTTTCGTGGGCTTTACCAGGAAGGACGAAATGAGGAGAGGAGAGTGGACATGAAAGGTGAGGGGGGAAGAAAACAGGGAGAGGATGGAAGAAACTGGTCCATCCAAACAGAGGTAATAATGCCCTGAGCATGCTGGCTGCCTCACAGTATAGGCTTCGGGTACCTTTACACACCCATCCATCCCTCCTCAGAAGCTATAGGACCACTGTTGGCAAATAGGCCCACATTCAGAAAGCAGGGGCACCATTAATCCTGAACCTAAATGGCTTGGGAACTGGGCTGCTACACTTGAAGCTAACACGAGCCCAGACTAGGAAAACAAGTACGCCACTATAACCCATGCAGGAACCTAATTTTGTGGGAACACATGATTCCCATTTAACTTACCTAATCCTCGGAAATCCATCATGGGACAGCCACCCAAATGCTCACCTGTCTCTGGGGACATCCAGGGCAGTGTTATAATCTGGGGGACCTCCAGGCAACATGTTGAAGAGCAGGTGGTTTGTTCCTCGATCCCACCTATTGAGGAAGGAAACAATTCAGAGAATGCACATTTCAACCATGAAGCAATGAATGCACGGCACTGGATTACACGTCCAAACACCGCAGCCTGCAATAGCGCCACCTGCTGGAACACGGTGTAAGTAACCACAGCTGAAAGGCTTCTCAGGTGCAAAGAAAACCCCAAAGGCACAAGTGAAAGATGTGTACTTCCAGCTTGTCTGCTACACAACCATTTCTGACAGTTAAAAAAGAAAAGAAATGAAAAAAAAAAAAAAAAAAAGACTGAAACCTATATAAATGTTCAAGAAACAAAAGTAGGCTAGGGAAATGTCGCAATGGTTAGGGGCACTGGCTGCTCTTCCAGAGGACCTAGGTTCTAATCCCAGCACCCACACAATGGGTCACAACCATCTGTAACTCCAGTTCCTCTCTTCTAGCCTGTGAGGACAACAGGCACACACGTGTGGTACACAGACATACATGAAGACAGAACATCCATGCACATTTTAACAAATAAAAATGTAAAAGAAACAAAAGTAAGTAAATTCTAGAAGGCTGATTAAATATATCACAGAATATCCATAAAATGGAATGGTACACACGTTCAGAATTGTGTAAAAAGAATGTGAGGGGCTAGGGAGATAACTCAATCAGTGCTGTGCTTGCGGTACAAGCCTGAGGACCTGAGCTCAATTCTCGGCACCTGCACAAAAGCTGCGTTCAGTGGAGCATGCCTATAACCCCACTGTTGGAGAGGCAGGGACAGGAGTATCCCCCAGGGCTCACTGACCAAGCCAATGGGCAGGCTCAGAGTCAGTGAGAGACCTGTTCCCAAAAATTAACTAATCGATTAATTAATTAATTAAGGTGGAGGGTGATAAAGACAGCCAACATCAAGTGCTGGCCTTTGCAAAGACATCATGTGTGCATATGCGCGCACACATATATACACACACACACAAACATACATATACACACCTACATAACATGAAATTATTTGGAATGATAGTCACAATGCATTACGAGAAATGAAGCTTCTATAGAGTATAATCACATAATGCCATTTCTGGCAAAAAAAAATAAAAATAAAAAACAACTATACAATTATACACACATAGCAATTTTATACCAAAAAAAAAAAAAAAATGACTGAATAAGCCCATTAAAACAATAGTTGTTGCCCCCTGGAGGCAGAGTATGAAACATATCTTACATTACTTTTGCTGAGCTGCCTTTCCAGGAGGCCGTGCATTTTAATATAAAGTACAGGGGAAGAGCCTCCCTTGGCTCTAAACTCCACAAAGCCCCAGGCCTCCACAGCAGCACCAGGATGGCAGACCTGAGCTGACCCTCAGAGCAGAGACTTCCGGCTACACATCAGTCAGTCACACACCTGTGAGTTGAAGCATCTGGACGCCAACTCAACAGGAGACACCTCTCTCTCTCCCCTTAGATCCCCCCTGGGGCGCTGGTGGCTAGATGTCAGGTACCTGGAAAGCTGGGCCAGGGCCTGTGCGGTCTCCTTGATGCGAAGCGGGTTCTGGTTCAGCACATCAATGGAGGGGACGAACAGACAGGCCCGGCTGATGTCATCCGTGTAGTAGTCACTGTCTGAGATGGCCGTGAGCAGTTCGTTGTACTCCCAGGAGATGGTGCTGCTCACTGGGACCCCCGCGTCGTCCACATACTTTTTCAAGGGATAGATGTACACCTTGATTTTGTTCTTTGGGTTGAAGCCGCAGCGGTACACATCGAAGCACGTGTGCATTCGGCAGCTGAGATCACCCCGCTCGGGGATGGGACTGTCAGCTGGCAGCCTGACCACCGGCACCTCCCGGATGCTGCGCTTCTCCACACCCCCATCGCTGGAGGACTCGATGGAGTGAGGCCAGAACTGAAACATGCCCGTGGCGATGAGGCCCAGGAGGACAATGGAGAAGAGGGTGACGTAGTAGATTCGGTGCTTTGTCTTCATTCTTGGGATGAGGGCAGGACCCCGAATATTGTATTTGACTGATGCACACATAATGACACAGATAGCCTCGTCCTCACACGTCTGGTCACCAGAGACAGAAACAGGGAAAAAAACCACTTAAAATGGCAATCAATACTCTGAGAGGATTGAATTGTTCAACTTTTAAGATGTTTATTTATTTTCACTTTCTTCTTCAGACAAAGTCTCACATAGCTCAGGCCCTTAAGGATAGCCTTAAACCCCTGATCCTCCTGCCTCCATGTCCCAAAGGCTGTGATTGTAAGCACAGGGCACCACACCCAGCTCTAACATACTTACTTTTTCCCTTACATCATGTGTCAAAATGACAAAAAAAAAAAAAAAAAAGACTTTTGACAGAGCTAATATATTAAAAAAATATTTTTATATAGGATAAATTTTATTTACTATATAATGCCATATGTAAATATATAATATGGAAATATGCAACATAAGATATTTATATTTATTTTTCAAATGTATCCATTTTATGTCTTAGTACTTTGCCTGCATATGTGCCTGTTGCCTATGGAGGTGAGAATAGGGCATTGAATCCTCTGGGACTGGAGTTACAGACAATGTAAGCTGGCATGTACGTGCTGGGAATGGAATGTGGGTCCTCTGGAAAAGCAGCCAGTGCTTTTAGCTTCTGAGTTCTCTCTCCAACCCCAATCCTATATATTCACTTTAAGCATAAGCTAGAAATGCTGACCCCTAGGAAGGAGGTGCTGACCAGAAAGGAAAACTTCAAAACAGAATAACCACAGATATTTATTTTGAAACATTCACCTGACATAAAATGATAGTTTACCTGGATCGTGATGCTTTTTGACCCTATAATCAGTTTTCACTCACTCACTCACTCACTCACTCACTCATGAGCCACCGATAAGCCTGTACAGATTCTCTGGCAGGAACAAGGCTGACCCCACCCAGAGGAACCTCCGGCCTAGTAAAGGGGAACAGACAAAGCCAAGGGGCACAGTGTGCAGAGGGACCAGGGGCATCTCAGAAGAATGCCTTCCATCTTTAAATTAAGGCCTATTCGCATCTTATAATGAAAGTAAAGGCTGGCCCATAATAATGCAAAGATTATACAAGTGAACGGAGCAAGAGCAACAAAGTAAGGGAAAAAGGAAGGACAGAAGAGTCAGTGTTGACAGTGCAGAGGCCAACAGCTCCTGACATCCATGAATATGCACAGCAGCACTTTTGCAACCCAAGAGCGGCCCCTTCCCTGCTGCTCTCAGTGATCTGTCACTCACATAGAAGACATTCTGAGACTTTGAGTCTGGGTCCCCAGAAACCTCTGCTTCTGCAGCTGTCCTCTTGGGACCTCTTACTACATAGGAGTGTGTGCAACCAGTGAGTGGGACCCTGAGATTCCCATGCCGTCCCCATCAAAGCCTGCATGCTCACTGTCCCTCTAAGCCAGCAGCAGAGAAATCAAAAAAACAGTGAGCACTGTGGGCTGAGACAGAAAGGAAACTGTTCAGTGCTCAGCTAAAAAGGCAGTACTAGCTGGTCTTATCTCAACCTGACATACAAAGTAGAGTTATCTAGAAAGAGAGCCTTACTTGAGAAAAGGCCTCCATAAGAACCAGCTGTAAGGCATTTTCTTAATTAGTGACTGATCAGTGAGGTCCCAGCCCATGGTGGGTGGTGTCATTCCTGGGCATGTGTTCCTGGGTTCTATAAGAAAGCAGGGTGAGCAAAGTCTGAGGAGCAATCTGGTAAGCAACACCCTGCAGCCTCTGCATCAGCTCCTGCCCCCAGGTTCCTGCCCTGTTTGAGTTCCTGTCCTGACTTCCTACAGTGATGGACTACGAATATAAAAGTGTAAGCCAAACAAACCCCTTCCTCACCAACTTGTCAAGATGGTTCATCTCAGTTGTGGTAACCCTAAGACTGGTAAACTTGCCTTGCACACCACAGCTAAGGTGTTTACCAGACCAACTTCCCACACTCATGCCCAGGTATTGTGGGTGGGACAAAGCCTGGAGAGTAAGGACGGCTGCCACGGGGTAACCAGGGATTGCCATGAAGCTAAGGTG